ATGGCGAGTGGGAAAGAACAGGAGTTGGAAGACGCGCCAGCAGCACTTTATAGGTCTGCTGTATGGGACCACTTTGCATTTAGAGTGACCTATGATGACGGCGGAAAGAAAGCTGTGGATAAAAGTGCATCAGTGTGCAAGCATTGTGCAACACGTGTTGTTTATGCTAACAGCAACATGACCAACATGTCATGCTAACCCCAAAATCCCACATACTCCATCAGCGCTCCGCCCCGCTGCGCTCCAGATCGGCTGCACAAAGCAAAGCCTACAGCCTCCGCTGCGTGTCCCGTCCGCTCCGCTCTCAGTTCCTCGGAGATCGTAGAGGGCATGCGCCAGATGATTGAATTCAAAGCAGCAAAACATGCGGAAATGATCCAGGGTTTCCGCGGATCATTAAAAATAAATACAGTCCATTAATTTTTTGGGATTTTTTTCATTAATTTAATTATTTTTTATGGGATTTCGGTGTAACAATCAACATATACCGAACCGAACCGAAAACCGTGACCACGAAACCGTGAATCGAACCGAATCGTGGATTTTGTGAACCGTTCCATGCCTATTTTTTACTATTGTTATTTAGTGGAGCCAGTCTGTCTACTTGTGCAACATTGACTCCCACGGTAATCCTGAATGAAATCCCTATATACTGCAGGTCAAAAGCTGTCGGAAACATGCGTAGGTGTCAACGTTTATAAAGGTGCACGGCATTCCATGCCCTATGGCAGATACTCATTATTATTTGTTTGTTATTATCAACCAGGGTTGGAGACCACTGATTTAAAGCATCATTCTAGAATCTGTATGATGCATTTATTATAATGATTTTTTCTTCGCATAAAGTCAACTGATATCTCTCAAACACATTATCCCTGAACTAGGATTCATACACGGATATAATCCTCGACTGAACGACTGCTGAGTTCTGGTTTTATATGTTTTTGTGTTAAATATTATCCGGTCTGCATTGAGGAATAACTGAGCCATCTTTCAGCGTTCAGGGAGCAGTAACCTAAATGAGGACAGAGTTACATTTTATTTGTGGTCAACGTCAGCTGCTGCATTACACGAAACCCCCCACTGAAGAATGAGAGCATACCACAGTCTTCCCTTCCGTTCCGTCTGTCATCTGTTCAACCCACTTTTACCAAACCAGGGTTTTTACCAAGTCACCTAAAGGCAGAGCTGCACATAATCAGCTGCAGTGGTTGAAGTGAAGCAGCTCTGCTCTATTACAGCTCAGGTTTTCACCTCGCGGTACGCTCCACAGCCGTGTGCCAGTCCACTAACATTTCCAATGCATCACATTAAACCCGCAGAGCTTGCCAACAGCAATCTGAAGGAACATGTGGAAGAGATTAGAGTTTGAGCAAAAGACAGTTAGATGGCCATTGTAAATTTTCCCCAACTGAAAACATAGTGCCTCAGCAGTGGGATAAAACCACTGGGGAAAAGTCTGCTTCTTTCCTTTTTTCTTTTTTAGCTCAAACACACAGTCATTGTTTTCTTTTTCTTTGCTCTCCAATAAGTCTACATAAAACAGGCATGTTTTATTGTTACCATTCTTGTCTGATGAGAAAACTATGAAACGTTTGACAGACAGTATCGAGCTGCGTTTTGTAAAGTCTCGCTTTTAATCCAAAAGCCAGAAGGTCGAGGGTTAATAACGCATTAAAACCGATTAAAACACATTTGGATCCTGCAAGGAGATAAAAACAGGAGGCTCTAATGTCAAAAACCTGTGATGCATCAGTATTTCCACCCTCCTCCTGCGACCCCTCACCCTCTTCCTCCCAAAGGAGCGCAGCCCATTCCCTCCCGGAGCATGTCATCACGTCTCACTCCCACAAACACATCCGAGGGCACTTCGACTCACTTTTTCCCCCCCTGCTCACACGGAGAATAACAAACAACCGCCAGATAAACAAAGAAAAAAACACAGCTCCTTCT